TACTGAAAAAACATCAACAATGACAAAGCCTCTTCTTTTTAAGGAACCAGTAATAGTTTTAATTTTTTTCAAAAGCTCTTTTCATTATATTAGTATATATTGCTACTAAAGACGATGAAATCTGAGTCCTCCCATGACAAAGAAACGAACAGCTGTGGTCTGTCAGTGCCCTGTGCTTCTCACCACATCAGAGCTCGCACCAGCCACCCAGAGGGCACTCTTTCCAGTGTGAAGCCACACGTCTTTAAATGACATTGCAGGGTTGCTATCCAAATGGTTGCATTTATAAGTGCTCTGCAACTTAGGAGCAGTGCATTGGTATCCTGTGAAAATCTTTTCATTCCAAATCTGTTAAGCTTTTCCAAACATCCAGAGAGAGGTTCCACTGTTGCAAGTAATTGTGAAAGATTTGATGTGTGCCTGCACCCATCTTCTGGACAGCAGCAAGATACTAAACTACGCATCAGAATTCTTTTCAAGTTTAAGCCATTTCTTGGTTTCTATAAATTTGTTCCTTGTCTTACTGAACTGTCATGTATCTTAGAGACTTGCAGCACCTATGCTCCTCACAAAGGGGAACTGGCCTTTTTGGTGGAATTGAATGTGATATTTATTGTATGGACCTCCAACTGTGCCACGAGATTGAAAGTATATTAGCATAGAGTTCTTCGCTGCACTATGTGTGTTGAAATACTGTTAGGTGGACTTGATAGACTGTCTGCTGGGTAGACTAACGCCACGTCTGCAACAGAGACTGAGAGGGTTGTCATTCTGGTGTCAAAGTTTTATTCCATTTTGGGAATGAAGGAAAGGCCTTTTGATATATTTTTCTTAATCATGGGGTTTATTTTTTTAAACATGGATCAATTGACTAGAGATGCCCTTGACATTCAGTTTTGCCACTGTGAATCTTAAAGGATCAGAGAAGTAAGTTCATTTAGTTCTCCTTTGGGAGAATGAGATGTCTCCGTGGATGCTTTATTATCTTTGATTTTTCAAAGGTTTTTGATTGATGGTATGCCTCAGCTAGACTTTGTTGGATTTTGGTTTGCTATATAGTTGGCATTTATAAAATCTGAAGTATCACAAATAAAGTATTTATTTATCTATACTACCAGTCTTTTCTACTGGTCTGAGTACTTGGTTCACTCATTAGAGCTGATGTGGCCTGAGCTAATGTAGCTTGCTGCTGCTGAATACAGCAATAGTACTGGGGCTGGTGAGCCTTTGCAGGAATGTCTGTGCTTATATGAAGTAATAGAATTATGTTGGTTATTTTCTTTAGGAAATAGTGAATCCAATTCTTCCAAGGAAGTTGAAAAAAGGCTTAGTATTGCCAGGTGCCAGTGGCTCACACCTATAACCTTAGCCACTCCGGTGGCAGTGATCTGAAGATTATGGTTCAAAGCCATCCCAGGCTGGAAAGTCTGAGACTCTTATCTCCAATTAAGAACCAAAAAAACTGGAACTATCACTGTAGCTCAAGTGGTAGAACACTAGCCTTGGGCAAAGGAACTCAGCACGTAGGCCCTGAGTTCAAGTCCCAGGACTGGCACCAAAAAGCTAAAAAAAAAAAAAGGGATATCAATGTTGGTGTCAGATAGGTTTAATATCTCAGTGCTGTCATCCATAGTGAGGTGCACCAGATAGCAAGGAATGTGCAGACTCTAGAGTGTTCTCTCTACCTTCCCATCAGGTTCCTGCTTTTACTGACAGAAAGGAAATGGAAATGTGCCCTTTCCAGGCAAAGATCCTGTGATTAATGATTGAAACTTCAGTTTTATGTCATTGAGTTTTTTTCCAGTCATACCAGTCTTTTCCTCTTGCTACTGTCCTTACCGTCAGGGTTGCTGGGCTCAGGAGCCACAGTATCTTGTTAAAACAGAACCCAGTGGTCAGAAGGGATTTACTGTTTCTGGTCCCAGTAAAATGTTGCCTTTTAGGGAAGTCATGTTCCCTTAGCGATTATTTTATACATCTTGACTTTTTGGATCTTAGTAGTGATCCAGAACTTTCCACTTCACTAAAAGAGAGAAAAACCATGGCCAACAAAAGTAAAAAATACCAAATGGTGGTGGTGGTGGTGGTGGTGGTGGTGTGTGTGTGTGTTGAGTTGTTGGGTTTTGTTCCTGTTTAGACCATGTCTTGCTGTGTATCCCAGGCTGGCCTTGAACTCTCCTGCTTCAGCCTCCCAAGTAGCTGAGATTACAAGTGTGTGTCGTCATCTTATTTCTAAGATTGTGCTTCTATGTTTTTCTGATAACAGTAAAAATATTTAATCTGTTACCCAGGTTCAAGCCTAGATATCCAAGTGCTGTAGGTTTTTCATCCTAGCAACCTCCATAAGGTTACCATTAATAATGCTGAAGGACTCCCTGTAACTTGCATTGCTCACTTTTTTGGTCCCTCTCCCCACCCCCCACCCCCAATTTTAGGAAGAGGCTTTCCTTCTCTACTATTTTGTCTGTACCAAAATTTGCTTTTGCAGAGGATGCCTTTTTCCATAGTGCCCAGTACACTGATGAAATGTGGGATCAATTCCTGAGAATGGAGACAGGTGACAAGAGGAGATACCTCGACGGTACTTTTTGTACCTGGAACCAAATAATATTTTCTTAGTTCTTTCACGTTGGGTGTGAGTACATCTGAATGGAATATATACTTAGGAGCTTCTGATGCAATGGCTCTGGGCCCCTCTATAATTGAGATCTTTGGATTTACATTCTCCACCATTAATTTTCTGTTTTACTATTAATGATCTCAACCTGGTGAAAAATGACTTTTAGGAACTAGTGTAGCTTTTTTGTTCCTGATACCTTATGTTTCATTACTAGCCAGATGTGATTTATGGAAGTTGTGTAATATTTGTACTGTTAAGTTGTTGGGGATAAATGGCCATGTCCACTCCTACCCTGAATATTTGTGGCATATGTAACTTAGTGGGTTCTCCCACTACAACAATCATGTTTCATGCTCTCCAAAATGATGCAGGACTCTTCATCATGGTCTTAATAGTAAACATGTTTAAACCCTAGAGTTTTACAGGGAAAGGAAAATGATGAATAAGTGAATTTTAAAGATATTTATTGAATAAGAAGCTAAGACAGAGCTGAGCCAAGTCTTAAAAGATCCTTTTGATTTTCTTTGTACCCAGCTTAAATTCTGACCTTAGTAACAACTTCTTTGTAGCCTGTTAGTTCTTGGTTGGGGTAAGATTGGGCCCACTCACTTAATGATGACAGAACGTGTTTCCTATGACAAATGCCAATACAAAAATTTAAAAATATTCTTTTCCAATTGCACTTTCTAATGTTTTGCTTTTAAAATAGCATCTTAAAATTGTATTTGTACTTAATTTTTGTTCTCATCTAAATGTTCATTTTCTGACTGTATAGAAGAAGCTTTGTTATGTAATTTAATAATAAATATCTAAATGGTGTGCCTGTGGTTGTTTGTATTGAAATGATACGCATGAGACAGTTGGAGAATGGTGATCATGCAATCTTTTGTATTGACAAGTATTTCTCTTGACGTTCTAAAACTCTGGATGGTTGAGTGCTGGTGGCTCAGTCCTATAATCCTAGCTACTCATGAGACCCAGAAGATCATAGTTTGAAGCCAGCATAGTTTGAAGTAGGCAAGTCTGTGAGACTCCATCTCCAAAGCAACCAACAGAAAAGCTAGGCTGGAAGCATGGCTTGGGTAGTAGAGCACTATGTAAGCAAGCCCATCAAGGGCAAGGCCCTGGGTTTAAGCTAAAAGATAAAACAATATAGGAATGAAAGTACAAAAAACCTTTCACCTAATGTTTAAGAAGCAAAGGAGAAACTTTTTATCATCATGAAATGTCAGGAGATACAATGGAGTCAAAAATTCTATGTCAGCCAGAAAAAGTCTCACTCTGCTTAAATGATGTGTATGTGCATCCATGGGTCCTGAAGCTTGAACTCTGAGCTGGAGTGCTGTCCCTGAAGACTGCTAACCACATACAAGCATACAAGACACAACCATATGAATGTACAGTCACAAAATTATACACCTTAAAGTTACTAACTTAGGCTGGGCACTTAGGAGCCTGAGATCTGAGGATCAGTTCAAAGCCAGCTCAAGTGGAAAAGTCTATATGAAATTCTTACCTTCAGTTAGCTGGAAGTGGAGCTGTGGCTTAAGGGGAAGTGCACCATTTTTTGTCTCTTATGAGGGCAATAATCTCATAGAGACCCCATACACCTAATTACCTCTCAAAGCCCTCACTAATATGTTGGGGGTTAATAGTTCAACAAGTGACTCTTGGAAGGAAAGACATTGATACTCAGTCCATAACACTACCTACATGGCCCATCCTGAGGGAGGACTCCCTGACCTGTGCCTTCTCTGATTTCCTTTGATTCCACTATAGCACTTAGTCATCCTGTTATATTCGCTAGGTGTTTCTTTCTCCCCCATACAACCAAGGTCTGAGCACTTTGAGGGAAGAGGCCATCATAACTCATCTTTATATCCCCCAATAAGTAGACAATATATGCTCAATAAATTTTGAAAAGGGAGAACTGGAATGATCTAATTGCTTTGTAATTAGATCTAAATACAGTAGCCATTGCACATGGAAATGAATATGGCCACTTGTTCCTACATGAATTACTGCCTTCCTGTTCTACAGTCACCCAGCCCTTCAATTTTCTTTCCCTGTGATGAGTCAGGTAAACTGGGCATTGTGGTTTTCTTATTCTCCACAGCTATTTCAAGACGTCACCATTGCCAAAGAAGTCTTTGGAAGCAAAGTGTGTGTGAAGCCGGACTGCAATATCAACTCAGGAAATCCCTTTTGTGGAACTCAGGCAGCTGCTTGGCAGTCTCTATTGTGGTGACCAAACTATTTCAGACAAGCCAGCAAGACAAAGCAACCTCATAGTATCCTGCATAAATGAACATAATTTTCCACCAAGAATATATCTTGTAGCCCTTTCCCATCTCCAGATTTGTTTGCTTGCCACCCCCGAACTCTTCCTGCCAAGATGTCGATTGGTGTGCTAATTAAAGTCCTGTAGGAAGCTGAGGGCCATATTGTTACATGTGAGACAAACACCAGTAGTGTATATCGAGGAAAGCTTATTGAAGCAGAGGACAACATGAACTGCCAGATGTCCAACATCACAGTCCTGTACAGAGATGGCCGAGTGGCACAGCTGGAGCAGGTGTACATCCGTGGCAGCAAGATCCACTTTCTGATTTTGCCTGATATGCTAAAAAATGCACCGATGTTAAAGGGCATGAAAAATAAAAACCAAGGCTCAGGGGCTGCCCGTGGAAAAGCTGCTATTCTGAAGGCTCAAGTGGCTGCAAGAGGAAGAGGACATGGAATGGGACATGGAAACAGCTTCCAGAAACGAAGATAGTTTTCTATGTTAAATAGAACTTAGCCTTTTTTTCTTTTTTTTTTACTTATTTTTTTTTATTGTAAAGATACTATACAGAGGGTTACAGTTACATGAGTAAGGTAATGAGTACACTTGCTATTGAGCATTGTTACCCCCTCCATTGTTTTCCCCCTACCATCCCTTCTTTTTTTTTTTTTTCCTGTAGATTATCTGAGTTTGTCTGGGTGGGTACCTATATGTATGTTTTCTTTTGACATCATTTTTTTAGATCAGAAGGACTGTTAAACTAAATAAATCTGATTATGTTGTTAAAGAATTTATCTTGTAGATGTAAAAAGAGAGATACATCTATTAATGTATTTGTGGCAGCATTGATTGTAAAGGGAAAGGCTAAATAATGTACATGTCCATCTATAGGGTAATGTCTAAATAATACATCTGTTCAAAAAGAAGGGTCTCTGCCAGGTGCTGGTGGCTCACACCTGTAATCCTAGCTTTTCATCAGGCTGAGATCTGAGAATCTCGGTTCAAAGCCAGCCAGGGCAGGAAAGCCTGTGAAACTCTTATCTCCAATTAACTAGCAAAAAGTTGTGAGTGGAGGTGTGGCTTAAGTGGTAGAACCAGCCTTGAGCAAAAAAAGCCAAGCGAGAGTATATGGTTCTGAGTTCAAGGCCCAATACTGGCACAAGAAAAAAACAAAAATAGTCTGAGATATAACTAACATACAATAAATATGAATAAATAAAACATTTAAAGTTAACAGTTTAGAAATGTTTAATATGTGCACACCTATGAGACCATCAACATAGCTGAGACAGTTACTATATATACCTATTACACAAAAAGTTTTCTCACACCCCTTGAACCTCTCCAGCCCCTTCCTGAATTTCAAGGACCCACTGCTCTGATTTTTTTTAATCATTTTGCATTTTCTAGAGTTTTATAGAAATGAAGTCATAGAAGATGCATCTGACTTCTTTCCCTTAGCATAACTGTAGTTATGTGTACCAATGAACTATTCTTATTTTCTGCACGGTATACTGTCGCATGAACAGTTGCAGTTTTCTTATTCACATATCTGTTGCTGTATCTGTCATGTTGTATGCTATATGTGAAGCTGGTATTCATATACAAGTCTGTGTGTGGGCTTGTTTTTTTCCTTTCCATTTATTTGTTTATTTTCTTGATTGTCAGTTGCAGGTCTTGAACTCTGAGCCTGGGCTCTCTCCCTGAGCTCTTTTTGCTCAAGGCTAGCTAGTGTTCTACCACTTTGAGCCACAGCACCACTTCCAGTTTTCTGGTGATTAATGGGAAATAATAGTCTCATGGATTTTCCTGCCTGGGCTGTCTCTGAACCACAAACCTCAGATCTCAGCCTCCTGAATAGCTATGATTACAGGCATGAGCCACCAGTGCTCTGCTACATTTCCTTTTCTCTTTGATAAAATAGCACCGGGTGGGATGACTGGATCATCTGTTAAGTGAATGTTTGAAGTATTTAGAAGTATTTAAGAAAATGCCAAGCTATTTTATAATCAAATGTAAAAGAGAGTTCATCATTTGATACACATTTTTTAAGTTTAAGCCATTGAATTCGATGTGCAATGGGAGTTCATTGTGTATTTGTTTTACCTCATGCTTGCTAGGCAGGAACTTTACCACTTGAGCCATACCTCCAACCCAACTTATGTTTTTTTGTTTACATTTCCCTAATGACTAATGATGTTCAGCATCTTTCCATGTGTGTGTCTGTTTGAATATTTTTCCCATTATAATAATTAGCTTGTTTTATATATAGAATACTGGGAAAGATATTTAAGGAAATGTAATGAACACTTGCTCAAGGAAAAGAATGAGCAGACAAGAGGCTACAAATAGGGAGGGCTCTTGGTTCTACACTCTGAAGAGACTATACTTTTCTGATTGCTTAAATTATATATAGTTTTTAATTTTTTAATTATTACTAGGGATTTTTTTTGCCAGTCCTGGGGCTTGAACTCAAGGTCTGGTTACTGTTCCTGAACTTTTTTGCTCAAGGCTAGTGCCCTGCCATGGTAGCCATAGCTCCAGTTCTAGCTTTTTGGAAATTGATTGGATATGAATCTCATGGACTTTCCTACCCTTCTTTCCTAATTAGTTCATAGTCTCATGGACTGACTTTGAATTTTCTTTTTTGGGGGGGAAGAGGGGGAGTCCGGTCGCTGGGCCTGAACTCTGGGCCTGGGCGCTGTCCCTCAGCTCTTCAGCTCAAGGCTAGAGCTCTACCACTTGAGCCACAGTGCCACTTCTGGCTTTTTTCTTTTTGCTTATGTGGTGCTGAGGAATGGAACCCAGGGCCTTATGCATGCAAGGCAAGTGCTCTACCACTGAGCCACCTTCCCAGCCCCCTGACTTTGAATTTTCAAACAGCAATCCTCAGATCTCAGCCTCCTGGGTTGCTAGGGTTAAACAGGCATGAGCCATCAGCACCCAGCATATATATATAATTTTTTCTCCCCAGAGCTGAGGACTGAACTCAGGGCCTTGCAGTTGCTAGACAAGTGCTCTCCCACTGAGCTAAATCCCCAACCCCTTAGATTATATTTTTTAAAAGGAAAAATAAGCTGCTTTGAAAACATCAGTATCTTGAAAGCCTGTTTTTTTAATGGATGGATGGAGACTTGTTTAGCCAAAAGCACTTGAGAAACTCCTGGTAGGAAATTGGAGTGTGGAGCCATTAATGGAGCCCTGAGCATTTTGCATTGTGCTGTCTTCAATCATTTATGGTAGTGTACTGTTGGCAATGATGACGGCTGGGCTGTGGCTCCGGTAAGACAAGCGGGACTCAGGATTTATATTTAAGGTGACTTTACAGAAAGAACCCAAGAGTGGCTCTCCCAGCTTATGTTTGACAAAAAAAGTTTGGTTGATCTTTGTTCCTCCTCCTCCTACTTTCTGGGATGTAACGTGGGTTTGAGATGTTACAGACCCTGAGCAAGCATCTCATCCAAGTTCATGTCCTTTTAAGAAAGCAATGAAGGGCTGGGAAGGTGGCTCAGTGGTAGAGTGCTTGCCTTGCATGCATGAGGCCCTGGGTTCCATTCCTCAGCACCACATAAGCAGAGAAAGCTGGAAGTGGTGCTATGGCTCAAGTAGTAGACCACTAGCCTTGAGCTGAGGGACAGTGCCCAGGCCCAGAGTTCAGGCCCTACTACTGAAAAAGAAAAGAAAAGAAAAAGCAATGGAGAGTTAACAAGAAATGCTTTTTCTCCTAAAACCTCTTGCTGATTCTTTTCTGCTCCTGCTCTTTGATCGTATCCATTAACTAGTTCATAAAAAATATAACAAATTGCCAGGCACTGTGGCTCAGACCTCTAATCCTAGCTACTCAGGAGGCTGAGATCTATGAGGATTGCAGTTCAAGACAGCCTGGGCAGGAAAGTCTGTGAGACTTTTATCTCCAATTAACCACCAGAAAACTGGAAGTGGTGCTATGGCTCAAAGTGGTAGAGCACTAGCCTTGAGCTGAAGACCTCAGGGACAGCGTCCAGGCCCAAAGTTCAAGCCCCGTGACCGACCAAAAAAATTAATACATTTATATGTATGTATGTATGTATGTATTTATATCCTAGGCTGATTCCCACCAAAACCAAACAACAGCAACAACAAAAACTAATGTCCTGGGCACTGTCCTTGAGCTTTCATGCTCAAGGCTACCAATTTGAGCCACAGTACCATTTCCAGCTTTTTGTAGTTAATTGGAGGAAGGAGAGTGAGCAAATGCAGTCATATTTAATGTATATTATGTAAGAACTGGAGTATGGCCAGACATCTAAGGCTTCCACCTATAATCGTAGCTACTCAAAAGGATGAGGTCTCAGAATTGGGGTTTGGAGCCAGCCCAGTCAGGAAAGTCCCTAAGATTCTTATCTTCAATTGACTACCAAAAAACCCAGAAGTGGAGCTGTGGCTCAAGTGGTAGTGTGCTAGCCTTGAGAAAAAAGAAAGCTCAGGGGGGCTGGGAAGGTGGCTCAGTGGTAGAGCGCTTGCCTTTCATGCTTGAGGCCCTGGGTTTGATTCCTCAGCACCACATAAGCAGAAAAAAAAGCCGGAAGTGGCGCTGTGACTCAAGTGGTAGAACGCTAGCCTTGAGCTGAATTGCTGAGGGACAGCGTCCAGGCCCAGAGTTCAGGCCCCACGACCGGACCCAAAAAAAAAAAAAAAGCTCAGGGACATCAACCAGGCCCTGAGTTTAAGCCCCAGAACCAGCCACCAAAAAGAAAAGAAAAAGAAGAAAGAAAGAAAGAAAAGGAAGGAAGGAAGAAAGGAAAAGAAAAAGAAGTCAACTTTTCTTGTCCAGTGTCCAGCAGGATGTTTTTGGATTGTAGCTTGGACATTTGCTAAATTTCTGTTCCCATTTGTAAAATGGAAACTAATCCTGTTGGAAATGAGCTATCCTGAAACTCAAATGAGTGGAACGGGAAACCTGATTTTCTTCTAGCTAACTGCCATTTTAAGTGCATCTACTGTGCTCTGCCTGTTTCCCTCCACAAACCACTACCTACAGTGGGATAACTTTTCCATCTCTGCTACTTCAGTCACATGCCCAGCCCTGTCCCCATTCTGGGGGCTTTCTTTCTGTCTGCATTATTGAAGCCCCCTTCCAGCAGGGAGAAACTCCAGGGAGTTAGTTTTCCTTGCCTTCAGGAGCAGGTGTCCTCCAGAGACTCAGCCTGTAGTACTGGGGTTCCCAGTGACCTGCCCTTGAGAGATGCCACTGAGCAAAGGAGGCCCCAGGGGCCCCCGGGGCACAGCCTGCTGCGTCATGGGATCCTTGGGGACACTCCTTGCATGGGTAAGACTGTGTCCTTGATGTAAGTGCACAACCTTAAGGCCCCCTTTCAGTCCAGGACTGAGTTGGAAGAAACTTTTAGGAGCAGACTTTCCCAGACATGAATCCAGGAATCCAGACATGAGAACCCCAAGGCTTCTTGTGAAAACTGGGGACACTGCTCACTGCATGTGTTTAGAGGCACAGCCCTGACTAAGTTCATTCACTGGCACCAAACACAT